GACTATAAAACAGCACTATATCACCCAATTGTTTATTCACACTTCATCACATTTTTCTGATTATACACCCTATACAAATTTGATTGACTATGTTAACTAATGGACTATCATCTCATCTTACACATGCGCCACAATACAGTTTCTGATATTATATTTTCATTTGCCTTTATTGGCTATATGTGTACTCTATTATTCATGGATTTATAACTGTAGAGCCTGAAGAAGAAGAAGTTATCGAAAACAATTGTTCGCTCAAAATCTTGTTTTGATGTATAATTGTATACTACAGCAGGTAAACCTACCGAATATGCAGTTAAACTCTACCACATTGGTCAAGTTTTGATTAACTGATGAAAGAAGGTAGGTAGTTTGGTTCAAGTAGCCATTTCTCCAAATAACTGGCACAAAAATAAAGGAATGTTATGAAAAGATAAACGACTAAGATGATTGTAGAGATAGGGGGGGAGGCGGGGAAATAAGGAAACCGAAGTTAGTGACCCTATTCAATATTCAGTATGTGAAAAGGAATGAATTCCATTCTGAATGAATTTAGGTGAGAGTCTTCAGTTAATGCTTCTTAGGCTGACTGACTGGTTTCAACATAGAACTTTGCAACGATGTGCAGCTGTTCAAGTCTCCACACTTCACTTAGCACACAAAGCTAGAGAAGAAAGTAAGAGTAAATGCAAAAAAAGAAACAGTAAACAAAGATATGAGGCAAAAAGAATAGTAATATTGAAGAACAATATAGTTTTATTGGGTATTATAAGTCACGAGGAGTGGATTCATCTGCGCCAGCCATCATTGAGAACGATTTTGAGCCATAACACCGATTGTATCCAGCCTTCATTGGTTTTTACCGTCCCGAGGACCCCAACCAGGGAGTCTACACCTCCCTACTTGGCTGGCTTAGACTAACTGTTTTGGATTTCATTGACTGATGAAGCCATGTTTTGGTTTGGCCACCACTACCTAGCTCCTTTCCAACCCGACCTTATGTCGGTTAACATTGGTCGTCGATCGAAGAAGGCGATAGCTAGTCATGCATGCATGCGTAACACATGTCCTAACCATCTCAGTCCATGTAACAGCTTCACAGCCTCGTTGATTGGTTTCCTTTTCCCGTTACCTAGCACTCGAACGAATCCTAACCTCAATATTGCTCACCTTATTATACCTCCAACTAACACAGGAGATAGAACGAACGCAGGCACCTATGATCAAAGACAGCTAGCCAGCAAGGCTTTTCATGTCTTCCACTTTCAGTGGCCACGTCTCATAGGCAGGGAGGAGGACAGAGCAAACTGCTGAACAGTACACACGCCCTTTGGTCGACAGCCAGCCAGCCGGATACCACGTCAACGCCAGAGACGGCGTAAACTGGAATATTTGAAACTAGCTTTCTGTATCCATACTGAGATTTCGTCAGCGATCGACCCGTTGGCGTTGGCTGATGCAACTTTTCAAATAAGTGAAGTGCTCAACAGGCTCAACCGATCGCTTCACTTCCTATTTCTAAGCTAGGAGTCAATTTAGTCCAGTCCTGTGGCATCATCTTACATTTGACAGCAGGAGTGAATCGCATGCCAAACATTAGCAGATCGCAGCTCAAGGTGTTCAGAAGACTCTGCATTTTGTCACCGTCTTCACCTAGAAGGACTATACCATCTGCATATTCTAAGTCAACGAGATTATTCCTTCGTGATAAGTCGATCCCTGAGTCTCCGAAGTGAGTTAGGTTTAAGTCCATTAGTACATCTATGATGAAATTGAATAGAAATGGGATAGTGGGCATCTCTGACGGACACCACTAGTTGTCACCGGTTCCGATGACAGCTCACCGTAAGCTCTCACCTGGCTGTATGAGTTAGATTAGAGTGCCTTTCTTAGTGAAATGTATATTCTTGGCATTCCACTTACAACCAAACATCTCCAAAGTACCTCCCTGTCGATAGAATCGAACGCCGCCTTTAGGTCAAGAAATATGACGATTGTTGGACGCCATCAAGTATGCCTAAGTTCCGGAATCTGTCGAAGTGTGAAGAGACGATCAATACACCCTCTTCCCGGTCTAAAGCCTGCCTGGTTCCCTCGTGTTTGTTCCTCCCGCGGACCACTTAGTCTACGCATAATTATTGAGCCTAGAACTTCAGATACTATATCAGTCAAGCTAATCCCCCGGTGATTATCACAGAAGGACTTGTTTCCCTTCTTGTATATCGAGAAAATCAATAACCTACACCAACACGACGAGAATTCCTATGATTTCCAAACGCTGCCGAGTAACTTAGTTAACGCAGACAATAAACTGTCTCCACCTTACTTAAACACCTCTGGAGTCATTCCATCAGATTCCGCTGCTTTCCCACGTTCGAGACTACTGACAGCCTTAGAAACCTCAGTTAGGGACAGAGGATCTGTTTGTCTATATCCCATTAAGAGAGGTGTTGGATGTTTGGTAAGCTGAGCGTGGCTGTTGGCCAACTAAATTACCCCTCAAAGTGTTCTTTCCAACGTTCCAATCTTCTATCCTGGGAGCTAATTATGGTGCCATTTTCCTCAGAAATTGTTTCATTTATCATTTGCCTTCTGCCACCTGTTTCCCTGATAAGTCTAAATAGTTGTCTGGTATTACCAATCGCCGATGCTTTTTCCATCTCTCCAACTTTTGTCACCCACCACCGTTCACGGTCGCTAGGATGGCTTCTTGTTAGTCTGCGTTTGAGTAGCTTTCGTTTCTCATCATAATTTGGGCTCGCAGAATCAGTCTTCTTGCGTTAATCACTTCAAATTAGGTAGATGAAATCCACTGGCTCCTACTAACTTTTGGTTTTAGGTGATCAATAGCCTTACAGCTGTGTCTACAGCTAACTGTACGTTGTACCAGGCCACCTCAGGAGGAGGAGTTTCGCCGTCGACCTCAGATACCAGTTTCGGTACTTCTTCCTTATATAGGGACTCAGTATCTTGATCTACTTGGGGACGTAGCTACTTCGCTGCCAACAATTTTTATGTCCGTTTAATCGTAAGCATAGACGTGCTCGAACCGTGGTGTGATGGAGTCTACGGACGTGTTCCAGAAGGAGCGGCAGCCTTCTGCTGACCCTTGCCAGAGATCCCCTGTTGCTATGTGGTCTATCTGAGTCCAACGTTGATTTGGTGATGGAGGTTGCCAGGTTACGTAGTGTCTCTCCTTGTGCCTAATGTTAGTGTTGATTAGGAACAGATGGTAATCTGAACAGAACTGTAGAAGAAAATCACCGTAATCGGTTGGTCGGCAGGGAATTCTATACGTACCACCCACATACTTATTAGTCTGGCACAACTTCCCTAAATGGGGATTGAAGTCGCCCGCTAAAACAACTAAATCTGAACCTTTTGCCTTTTGCAGCAAATTAGGCAGTTTCAGATATAAGTCATCCTTTAATTCATGCAAACTGCAGTCTTTTTGGGCGTAAGCGGAGACCGTGAGAGGGCAACGAGGGGTAACACCGTCCTTCCTTCTTCTAACGGAGCCGTTCAGATGGACCGCACACATACAACTATCGACTGGGATCCAGTCGAGAATTGATGTTTCCGCCTTAACACTCAAAGCTATCCCTACTCCTGCGAGTCCTCGCGAACTAGCTCAACAGTTTCCTGACACCCTTGAGGTGGATTTTGCAGATTCACTTTGTCGGCCGGGTGAGGTTAAGTGAATGAACACACTCGGGTCTTGTATGCATGTCTCCGAAACACAATATACATCCATGGCTCAAGACGCCAGAGTTCTTGTTAGTGATGCCTGTTGTCAGATGCTCGGGAAGGCTTCGTGTGCTTTTGGAAGTGTGTGAGCGGTTGTCACTTCTCAGCTGCTCACACCGTGGAAGTTGATTGATTCTTCTGATACCTGAAACAGGAAGAGGTTTTTTGTTGGGTGACCGCAAAGTCCAGGAAACAACTGTTTGAGCCAGGCCGGTCAAACACTGCCTGTATGCAATGGCTTCTTGGATTGGTTCCGTATTATTAAACTTACCGCCGGTTACGGACCAACGTAGGGTTAGTCGGGATGTGCAGTTGTTGGGGTCCAACTTTTCTAACCACCTTTCTCCAGAGTGGAGAGACAGCATATCTGGCTGGCATGCTGGTCATCTGAGGGGAACACCTCACTACTATTACACCCCTGCTCCCCAGCAGTACGACTTCACCCACAGACCTCCAGCATAGTAGAAAAATTCGTACACAATGCCAGTAACTGCTTTTAGTCTAACCGCTATCCGAACAGCCTTCCTGGCATCGTAGGACCTGCAGGAACAATGCTTCGGATGTAGAATCGGATGGACTCCAGTGAAGCAAATTCACCTTCTTAAAACAGCTCAGATATAACTCCATGGATTATTCTTCTGGGTTTGTCTAATCACCTTTAACTCTTCCAAAGTAACCTTACTTCACTTAACGTATTCGGTTGAGCAAGACACAAGGCTGAGAAGTGCATGACACTTATTCTGTAGAGCTCAATCAAAAGGAAAATAACCACTTCAACTCATCGTATCTAACATTCTACACCCAACTTCGTTATCACTTTCCATGCTATCAACTCTTCTACTTTCAGTATCCATTCGTCACACCCATAAAGCAGCAAAAAAAGCACCTGATATCAAAAATTGTGCAAAATTTTAATAATTCTGTTAGGTGTGATTTGTTTTACATTCCCAAAGGTATCTTTACTGCAGATATGTCATAAATGAAATCATTTTAGCTATGTAGTATAACACGATTGGTCACGTGCATGACCAATTTCAATTTGATACAGATCAATAAAATTTTAGAAGTAACCAGCTCAATTCAATCATCATTGGTTAGTGTTGTATCACTGACAGCCAAGAGGCTGTCTAATACAGTTTTGCGGGAGAATAAAAATTGAGTCATGCTTGTTTGGCATCAAACACTAGTGTTCTAAAACTTTATTTACCTTATCAACAAACAGAATTATCTATTTCCTCATGTAACAAGAGCCCTACATGCACTGGATTAACATATTACACAAAAGTCGACAATTGAAGGACCATGATTCTATAAAATGTGAAACATGCAAGCCTCTGTCTAATTGCATAAGTATTTGCACAAAACCGATAAATACTGTAAACACTATCAATCAACAGAATTACAATGATAACCAAACGAGTAGTGATTTAGACGCATACACAGAGCGCAGGAAGTTGTCCTGTAATGAAACAAGACGGAAAGTAAGCTGGGAAAACAATTCCAATCTGATCAACAGTTACCGGTCATCTACAACACCATATGATACAAGACTGAAGAAACGACAAGTCTCCTATAGCAAACCGCCTTGGAGGTTTTCTAAGTATGAGAGACCACCAGAAGTATTTTTGAATACTAGTCAACACTCTATAAATAACAAACAAGTAGAGAATGCAAGTAAAAGAGAGACTCTGAAGTCAGCAACACGCAGAAGACCACACAGTACACATCAACAAGACTTTTCCAGACTAGGCAGGAAAAGTCTTGTTGATCAGAAAAAATGCATTCGTAACCAGTCGAGTGATGAAAGTCCTAGTGATCATTATTATTATAATCAAGATAAGTTTACGCACGAGAAAAATTCCTTTGGAACCAGTTCAGACAGTAGTAGTACAGGCTTTGGCAGTACAGTGAATGTAGGATCTAATCCAAGAAAAAGCGTTAAACACTGCAAAGGTGGATCGCATAGAAGTATCTCTGATTTCTGTCCACGACCGGCTAGTGAATTCACAAACTATATGCATGATAAAGTTACGCAAACGTCCTCTGTTAGTCGAAATTCTATTGATGATGAAGAACTTCCTAGAATCAGTCCACTTTTCATTGAAAAAAGTGACACATGCTCTCTGTGTCTATACCGGCATCTTAATAAGGTCTATGGTAAAAGGCCAACGACGTTAAATTCTTCACTCAACAGAAAAAATAGTGGAGTGTTCACAGTAAATTATGATACAACAGGGCAGGATGAAGTATGCTTGAACAGTTCCAACTTGAAGAAGCAATTTTCATTTACACATGAAACAAACATATCAATCCCATCTACAACATCCCTAGAGAGACAGACGTGTACATTAGGAAATCAGCAATCGCCTCCACATTTATCTGTAAATGATACACCGTATTATTATTATTATTCACGGTCACCGAATAGTTGTTGCAGTGAAAGTAGATTACACTGGCCAACTGCATGTTCTCCTGTTTGCAATCCACCCTATTGCTCGGAATTAACAAACAGTCAAAGTGAGGTTACAGCGGTCAGTCAAAAATCAAAACACTTAGATCAACAAGATGGTGACAAACTTCTCAATAGATTTAAACTGAAAGATCTGCACACGACAGAAAAATATCCCAGCAAGGACAAACTACTAACGAGTAATATAAATGTAAATGTAAACGCCAATAAAACATTTGGTTCCAATCAAAAACAACATCATCCCCACTGCCATCAATACCAGGAGGTGGACAGAAATACTCAGGAACACAATACCACTTCTTCAAATACAACTAACCTAGTGTGTTTAAAAAACACTGCAAAAACAAAAAGCACAAACTGTCCAGCTCATAATAATCATCAAAACGACCAATCACACTGGTCCCATGTGTTTACAGTCTACTCATCGAAACCCTTAGATGATAATGAGTACATTATCAGCTCTTGTAAACACATGCCAATTATGTGTGAATGCCCCCATGATTCTACGGTGAAAAGTAATCATGTATGCAATACGAATCAGAACACAACGACCAACGAAATTTCAGACTGTGGTACAATGCACAAATATCATTTAGTCCACTGGTATGATTTGGAGAAAAATCAAAATGCGAAAAATGGTAAAGTTGTTTCTGATTCACCGGAGAAAAGCCGCCGTTTAACTGGTGAGTGTGCCAGGTGTCCATGTCATCAAGCGGAAAATACTCCCACGGCTAATACTACCCTAGCTAATAATAATAAAAATAACAATAATAATAATAATAGCAACTAGAATAGCAATAATACTTCATTGAAAAGAAAGCAAGGCAATGAATGCAGTGATCATAAGCTTGCTGTTTGCAGTACAGACACGCCTTCAATACACTAAAACAGTATTTTATTTTTAGGCTTATTCCATCCAGCATAACATGATTAAATTAATCGATATTATTTAAAAAATACGCCAATCTTAACCGTGGTTGATAATCTAATGCGCTGTTGAAAGTGATTATATAAAAAAGCCTGAATTGAAACATTATACCAAGAAAAAAAAAGGGGAGATAAGTATCACAAAAAGCAATTCCACTAAGGAAGGAAGATTTTCTACGCTGAATCATTGATGAAAATTTTATTTCCAGCATAATTAAATTTGCTTACATTCAATATAAATGATTAAAAGTTGAGACAATTAAACTGTACAATTTCTTTTTTTATGTGACACAATGACTAAGGAAAATACAGAAAAGTCTTTGGAAAAAATTAAAGCTGCAACTCACTGGAAAATGCGATATGCTAATAGTAGTGACAATTGTTGGAAAACTTCAACTGGTCAACAAGTGAAAACATCAATGACAGAGATCCATCCCTCTGCAGGACTACTATCTGCTAGCGGCATCATCAGCAGCATGAGCAAGTTGACCAAGACTCACGTAAATCAAAGCGATAAACATTACTTCAGAAGAAGCAGATCTGAAGTAGGCATAAAACAGTGTCGAAATGAAAAGATCAATTCAGTAGTAAGCACTGGGAAGAAGCAGTCACCCATGACAATCAAATCACCCCAGTTATTACAGAAAACCAGAAAATTACCACTGAATTCCACTAGCCGAATGAACACAATTAACAAACAAATACTGACAGGGAATCGAAGCAGACGGCATAAAAGTGCTTCGTTATTAAATAGAAAGCAGCCAATTTTAATTATTGTGCTAAATGAATCCAGAAGAGGTGACTATCCAGAAAAGAAATATCATACTTTCACGAGAAACTGTGTGGCTACTTCAGTGAATGTTGAAAAAGAGAACATGGATGTTATCCGGGGATGTGAAGAAAAGCCTCAATACAGTAGTAAAACAGTGGTTATCGTCAATGAGAAAAAAATATCCCTCTGCAAACCAGATCTACTAAAGCGACAGTTGATTCAACAAAGTACTCCGGAAAATATTCTTCTTTCGTCATCACAATCCCATAATAATAATATTGGAGATGATTTTTTCAAGTTGATATTAATTGCGAATTTAATACAATATACAATACTTCACTCCTGTCAGACTGAAATCAGTTCAGACATTCTCAGTGAAAACATGATTGGTGAAGATTTGTGCAGTGTAATGGAACTGCATAATTTATCAGTACATCAACCACAGTATCACGAATTAATGTTTGAAGAAAGTTCAGCAGTGTATATCGCTCAAGTCTCAGCTGGCAATAGCTGGATTGAAGACAGGCAAATATCACTGCAAAGCTGCACTGATGAACAACACAATGAGCCTACTGCTGCTGCTGTTCCGACTAATACAGTAATTTACATCACGTTAATCGACCGAAAAGAATTAAAGAACAGACTGAGTATACTTCAACAGGTAGAAGAACAGTACAAAGGTGAACAGGTCACACAGACAATTAGCAGTGATAATGTTAACATTGATGACTTAATTGTGACGCCACTGTCACAGACTTGCAGTAAAAAACATCAAGAAGTGAACATCACTGAAAAGATATCTGAACAACCAGCGACTGTGGAATCCAGTGGAATATCCAACTTGGAATTATTAAAATCACATTATGAAAAAGGTAATTTTGTAGGAAGTCAATTCAGCCCTGACGTACCACAGCGACCTCTTGTTGCTGCTAAAGATCATTCGCAAATCAATAACATCTCTGATCATCATCATTATCATCAGTCAGTAGAAGTTCGGCGGTTCAATCGTAAGACTGACACCGCCAGTGGATTCAGCAATTGGTTAGTCAAGTTTATAAATTCGGGGTGTATTATAAGGCGTAAAAAACAAAAACCATTTCCCCGAAAATCTGTAAGTGATGAGTCCATCTTACCGCCCGTTTCACAGAATATCAATGCTGTATTGTCACTGAAAGATGTTTCATATTTGTTGAGTTTACTGTCTAACACAGATGAACATAAGTATTTACTCAATACACCCGAGATAAAATCAGTGCTCTTAAATGTACAGCACCTAAAAAAATTAAAACATGAAGGCATAGATCTTAAAAGAATTTCAAAGGATGAAAGCCAGGATTTTACAAACAAACTGTTACATAGTATTAAAACACAAATACGCTTTAGCGACGAAGACGCTATCCATGAAGACAACCAGGGACAAGAAGACTGTACAAATATCAGTGAAATAGGAAATAGGAAATCAAATTCACTGAGCAGGGGATCACCTGTAATGCACGATGCAATAAAAACCCTGAGTGAATATAAGCCTTCTTCAAATGATAAACGTCAAGTGGCAGCTGAATTGAAAGAACACTGCAAACAACAGGCCAATGAATTATGCGACGCGCGTGATAGGCATCTGAGGACTGTAGATTTCGCATCAGAATCACCATCATCAGTTTCAGCAGTTGTACACCATCAGAAACAAGAGACACCATCAGCGCTTACCGACAAGACGGACCAGCCAATAATGCGACATAAATATAAATACTTAAAACAAATAAAGCAAAAACAATTAAAAAAGAAGGCCTCAACTAACATTACCAATTTATTGTTGAAATTAATCGACAGAAAGCGCCAAAATATTGTTCATAATAACGACAGTCAATGCGAACAAAGAGAGAGAATTGTTGTTAGAAGTTTACCAACAGACGGGACATTGCATCCCAAAGAAAAGGATAATAATAAGACTTCATCATCAACAGGATACGCTGGAAACAGAAAATCTGGATTTCTTGTCAAGCAGAAACCAACAGTTGACGTTGAATCGGAAGAAGATAATGTAATCCGTGAATATCATCTACGAGACAGTACCATCTTTCCAAGAAGTAGAAGTGAAACAACTGTGGGAAATAAACCAGACCAGGTAGAAGAAGTCCAGGCTATAGCTATAATTTCTGTCGACAATACACTTTTAGAGACTGCACTTGAAACACTCTACATATCTACATTTGAAACACCTTCGACTCAGGAATGGGATCATCAAACATCAGGAATGTTTATTGTTATAAGTGATAGGCACAAAGTAGAAATACAAGCCATAAAACGCCATGATCACTATATTCATGAACCGGATACAATGAAATTCGTAGACACAAGTAACAGACAAATTATCCTGCAATTACAACCTGTACAACAAGATATAAACAATTTGCAAATATTAGAAAGAATGCAAGATTCAATTCAATGGATGTTGGCAGGCGAAGAACAACCACCTGAACAAAATTATTTAATGTGTACAATAAGCTTACGTTTATTTAGTAAACTGGAAACAGGTGGACATGAACAGCTGCTACAAATCGAAGATGAATTATCCAGCACACTATCAGAGTCTATCATAAAACACCAGGTGAACTCGCTGCATAGTTTTGCAGTATATAGGCCTTCATATAGATGTTGTCCAGCTTATAGTAGGATACCGTTTAGTGAACCGCCAGGATTATATCACTGCAGAGAAGATACAAACACCCACGAGGATGAAGCTGATGATGCTACCTGTCTAACGGGCAGTTTAGTCTCTTTCCTTGGAACAGCATCTTCGGATAAAATCCTCGATGGAGACAATAGTAATAAAGACGATCGAATACAGTATGTAAGACATTATAATAGTATGACAGAGGCATCTATTTTTAACGATAATGATGAAAGTGATGATTCATTCTGTCTACGCCATCACAGCTCCAGTGACCAACAACTAAGACTGACAAAAATTAATCCAGTGCTTGCAAAACCAGTAAACAACAACTTAAAAGCTAAGAAAATGCAATTCTACTTTCCAATATTACTGCAAAGAGAAACTGGATGCTTATTTCAGAGTGTTGAACTGTCTAAAACAGACTCGAATGAAACACCGACAGCAACAATGACGGTGATCACTATGCCCATAGCTGAAATGAACAGTGTGTCGTCTTGTAAATACATACAATATTGAGTTTTTTGCAGAATTTCAGTGACGTGACACAGCATCATCCAGGAAAATGTGTGTGTTGAGTTATTTTTTAAGGGTCACAGAGTAGTACTGCAATGCAATCGTTTACACGTTGAGGATTCAAGCATACACTTCTTCTAGACTAAAAAAATGTGATAAAGTTATCCAAGAAATGCCTGAATGCAAACTCTTGTTTCTCTGATTCATTTCTTCACCATTTTTCTTTAGAAGACTGTTCTCTTCTTTAGTCCAAAACAAAAACAACATCTCATGCATTTTGAGATCTCATTTGGATTCTACGTTTAAAATAACTATTGATTTATTATATACTACAGCTTTTGTTTTTGTCACTCTTATCTGTTTCAGCTTATAAATATATATAATTTTACCACATGCATACAGCATTCTTTGCCTTCATAGCAATGACCACAAAGTCTAGGTGTCTGCGTTCTATCTCCCGCGTGAAGTGGAATAATAAGGTGATCAATATGGAGCTTAAGCGTCGAGTGCTAGGTAGGTGGGAGGGAAAATCAATCGACGAGACTGTGAAATTACATTGGCTGAGATGGTTAGGACATGTGTATCGCATGCATGCCTTGTCATCGCCTTCATCGACAATGGGCAATGTTAGCTGACATAGGATGGGTCAGGCTGGAAAAGAGCTAGCGGCCTTCACCAGTCAATGAAATCCACAACAGTTAGTTTAAGCCAGCCAGCCACGTAGGAAGGTGTAGACTTCCTGACTGGTTGGGGTCCTCGGGACGGTAAAAACCAATGAAGGCTGGAAACAATTGGTGACATGGCTCAAAATCGTTCTCAATGGCTGGCTGGCTAGCGCAGATGCATCCACTCCTTGTGACTCATGATTTCCAATTAAACTGTTTTGTTCTTCGTGTTATTGCTATTCCTTTGTCTCACACCTCTGTTTACTGTCTCTCTGTAATATGCATTTCTCCTACTTTCTTCTCTTGCATTGTGTGCTACATGGAGGGAGTGTGGCGACTTGAACTGCCGCACATATGTGCAAAGTTCTATGTCGAAGACCGACCGACCCGACCCGACCGCAGAGGATGATGCCAACATTCATCAGCTAGTTGTCAGCTGACAGCGTTGTATTTGATTAGTTTTAAGTGTCGATTGTCGTTGAATGTGTTATGTAAGCGTCAGTGTATCGCCCAAAAAGGTTTTGTTCTTGGTAAACGTGTCAATCTGTTTATGGAATGTCCAAGTTTACGCTACGCCATTCTGATACTTCCCTTCCTTCCCCCCCCCCACACACATATATATGTAACAAACAACCCTGGATGAAGCCGTTATTGGCAAAGAGTAAGCGCACATATGTGCATACAGACCATTTCCGCAGTTATATACCTAGTTCTTAAACGCCGTCCAACTGAAATAGATATACGTCGGAAGACACAAGGCTTAGCAAATGTAATGACCTGTCTGGTAACCTCAGCGACAAAGTTTCACAGTTTTTAATGAATTATTGAATACCTAACTTCCATGACCTCATTTTTGCAGTTTTGTACAGATCTTACTGCTAACACACATCAGCTTTTCTAGCATGTTCGAATATGTTAAGGGTAACAGAAAGGTGTAACAACAATTAGTGAGGCCCCCCCAGGTTATGTTGGTCGTTAATCTGCCTGAACTAGTTTAACTTCTTATAACGCGACATACACCAGACTTGATGTGCGTACATTAGTAATGGTAGAAAAAAAACGTAATCCGCTTTCAAGGTCTCTGTATCTTATTTGCTATAGCACTCCGGTGCTCCGGTGCCTGAGCACTCTAAATCGATTAGAAATTTTCAGGAGAAAATCAGTCTCAGTGGATCAGTAATTGTAGCTTTAATGGGGAAATTCTCGTGCATGGTGCGGACATTCCATGTCCCTCCACAAACCTTTTCTTTTGGCGCAAGGAGATTCATCGTGCTGGACTTCGCCGATGATATTTGTCTGATTTCCCACAAACTGGAAGATACGCAGTCGGAAAGCAACAAGTTGGCAGAAGAAGCATCAAAGACAGGACTTCAGGTGAACATAGAGATAACATAGGTGATGAAGATTCCTGGGCAACACCACCAACAGCAACAACAACAGACAACAATCAGTCGGCATAAATGGAAGGAACCTGAAAGAAACAACCTCCTTCACCTGCCTATCTGGGAAGCATCGTTTTAACTACAGGCGGACAGAAGCGATGAGGGTATCAAAGCAGCGAGGATTGCGAAAGCAAGACAAGCTTTCACTACTCTCAAGTCTGTTTGGAGGTCAACAGCACTCAGCATGAATATAATAAGATCCGGATTTTGAACTCCAATGTGAAGTCAATGCTACTCACGATACTGATCAGAGACTTGAACCGCGCGTCATAAAGAGCATCTCAAACAAACTACAGACCTTCATTAACAGTTGTCTTCGCTCAATACCACTCAAGATCAGATGGCCAGGGAGTACTAAACAGCTGTTTCGTCCTAGTTTGGGACTCTTCAGTAGTACGCACCCACAGGGCTTCGAGCCCACGACCTTCTGGCTACAATGGTATACGAGCTCGCCTTGTAGCCAGAAGGTCCTGGGTTCGAAGCCCGGTGGATGCGTTTTGCTGAAGAGTCCCAAACTAGCACGAAACAGCTGTCCAGTACTCCTTGCAGGTTTTCCAATGGTTCTCTAACTAATGTCACCCCATGATGATGAAAATCCTGTAACCAATCAAATCCTTACAAACCAACACTTGAATTCTGGATCTATTTTTAATCTAAAATTGATCATTTATCACTAACATTCAATCTAACGAGAGCATCAGGAACCAATCTCCTCGAGGATAATGACGCTAAGATTCATTCATCTCAAAAGGAAAGAAAGTTGTGATTGATTATTCATTGCTACGCAGTAGACCTTTCGGGTGCAAGAAGACATCAGTATGTTGGTATTGACAAGAAGACTCCTGAAGACTTCCACCTTCGTGGATAATTTATGTATAATATATCACACAAACTCGGAGACCCTACATTTGAGACCCAACAAACTGGCATCAAAGAGAGGACCTCAAATGAACATAGAGAAGACAGAGGTGATGTAGACACCTAACCAGCAACAACAACAAGCGCCAGTCACCAAAGTGCACAGCATCGACTACAGGCTTCACAGATGAGAATGCCAAAGATAGTTAGGATCGGAAAAGCCAGACAGACATTTGCATTAATCTGAAATCGGTGTGGAAATATCCTGCACTAAGCATAAAGAACAACGTTTAGATTTTCATGAAAAATTCCCATTCGAACATTAATAGATAGAAGAGCAGTAGTTCAGCGAAGAGTCTCTTTTCGGCGAATGTATTATTATCATCTGTGATGACGGTCACGATCTCAATCAGTTACTACAAATATTCAACAAATGCCATCCAGCTACATAGTTCACTCTTGAAATCGAAAACGAATCTAAAATCCGTTTTCTTGATGTTGAACTTACAAGGAGAGCTGACGGAACTTTAAGAAGGTCCATCCATAGGAAACATTGCTTCCAGTCTAGACAAAGGAGCTAAATTTGTTCGTTGTGCCTTCCTAGACTATACATCTGCTTTTGACTCGGTCCCTAGGGACATCTTATTAAATAAACTTGCTGCAAGTCAAGCAGAATGTTGGGATGTTTACTGGTTACATTCTTATTTCTCATAAAGAAAGCAGTACACCGTGTATAAAGGGAAGTCTTCCACTTCGTTGCCTACTGAAGCTGGTGTTCCTCAAGGCGCTGTCCTTCCTCCTTTTCTTTTTTCTTTCTTTTTACATGCCTTGCCTCACTCTGACGAAATAAACTTTGTGAAGTACGCTGATGACTTAACTGTTTCAATGGCTGTTAACTCCCAGCTAGATTGTACCAAAATAAATAGCTTTCTATCGGGAGTCAGTAAATGGTCTGAGTCTAACGGTCTTAAACTGAATCTTTCTAAATGTCAGACTGTTAATTTCAGCTTAACATGTAAACGACAGTTAAAAGGAGCCGTCGATTCTCATGACAGTTGTAAGATTGATGACAATGATATAGGAATTAAATCAGAAATTAAGTATCTTGGACTTATTCTCTCTTCTGATCTCTCCTGGTCTTCCCATGTCTTAGCAATCTCCAGTAAAATATTCCGCCTGATATTTTACATTAAGAAGTTAAGGCACTCGCGTATAACTCAACCCCTCCTCTTACAGTCCATAAACTCTTGCATCCTACCTATTCTTCTTTATTGTTCACCCCTGCTCATTCTTTCTTGGTTTGCTTAAAAAGGACTTTGTCACAATTCGTAGAATGCTGAAGACTGTCAGTTAGTGGGGTGAGTGTTGTCCCAGTGGACCACATAGTTAACGTCGTTGTCGATGGGCACTTGACTTCGTGCAATAAAATTGCTAAAGGGATTTTGTCTGACTTGGAGCATCCACTTCACCCTCAGCTTTCACCTTGCATCTCCTCAGGTAGAACAAGAAGTAACTTCAGAAAACTGTATGCTCGCACGTCTAAGTATAAAAATTCTATGATAACATACTTGGCACGTATTTTATGTGATGAAAATAGTGTCAGGCAAGAATTAACTAACCTTTTTTCATCTGGTAAATAAATAATCTCCTCCATCCATCCATCCTTATATACCTTCAAGTTTTACTTTTATTATTTTTATTATATTATTTATGGTCCTGTTGCTTCTTTGTTTTACTCTCATAATTCCAAACACCAACTTATCTCTATGACTGTTGTAATCTTTGTTTTTCCCCTCACCATATCATGTAAAGAGAACATTATATTCAACATTTTTAAACATGCAAGGATTTGTATATCGCATCCAGAATACTGTGTGAAACAAGCCCACGGTAATTTCCACTTGCATTATTATCATTACCTTAGCTGTTATCATTATTATAAATATTTCCATTTTATATGCTGCATGTTTTTGACATTACCGCTATTGTGAATGTGGAAATTTTTCTGTATGATTAATTTTATTTATAATTTGAGGAA